CAATAAAAAATTCTGGCCCTAACTGGTTTGACTCAGTGGATAGAGTGTCAGCCTGCAGACTGAAGGACCCCAGGTTGGATTCCGGCCAAGGGCATACACCTGGTTTGCGGGCACATCCCCAGTAGGGGGTGTGCAGGAGGCAGCTGATCGATTCTCTCTCATCTTCTCTCTCACTGATATTTCTAACTCCCTATCCTTCCCCCCCAACCCCCCACCCCCGTCTGTGGATGGAGTGACACAGGTTAGGGACAGCCCACTGCACTCCTCCGGCTGGAGAGGGTAGGACACTGAGTGGCCCTGGAAATGCCGTGTCGGGCACTGAGGACCATTTCCTCGTCTGTTTTGGGGAAATGCTGTCACCTTGCCATGTGCCCATTGGAGGGGAAGGTCCTTCAACCGACCTCGAAGCAAGAGGCTAGCTTTTCTCAAGACACCAGTCCTCGCTGTCCCTCCCAGCCACTCGGGCCTGCCAACTCCTCCGGCCTGCCAGCCACAGGGGTTCCCAGCCACTCAGGTCTGCCAGCCACTCTGGGCCTGCCCCGGGAGGGGCTCTACTATAGTCCCTCTGCAGCCTTCAGGATTACAAAATGATGACCAGGTGAGGAGACCCAGAATGCACACAGCACAGCCAGAGGCCTGGCAGGGAAGGTGGTCACAGGGCGTGTCACAAGGCGATAATACAGAGCACTGGGAACACAAGAAATGCACACCATACACTGAGATGATGCAAAAACACCTGAGTTGGCATCCTTCATTCTCTACTCGTCCAGCAGCAAAGGACCTCTGATGCGTTCATATAAATCTCAGGCAGTGAGCAGGAAGCCCACGTGACCAAACCTGCCCCCTCCCACCCTAGCACCTCCAGGATCAATAAAGCAAAAACCACCAAAGTAAAAGGGATCAGCCAGTGTGCTCAGCCATGCCAGGGGCAAGCACAGAAAGCTGTGGCACCACTTTCAGGAGAAAACTCTGCCGTTTAAACTCTCATTTCACATGGTCAGTGTTCTCCCTTCCTAAGTCACTGCTACGGCCCACAGACCAGCCTGACACTGGGGACAGGGCCTGGGCAACGCCACCCTATGCGTGGGACCAGGAGTGTGCCGGAGGCCTCACTCCACGGCTGCCAGCTGCTCAACGGCACAGAGGACTTCCTTTGTGATTTCTTCAAGTTCTTTCTGCTGATGGTTGGCTTCCTTTGCCACTTTGTTCTTGGCTCTTTCCTTGTCCAGTTTCAAAAGTTGACCGAGGGCGAGTCTTCAAGCTGCTTCTTGACAGGAAGGAAGGCACAGCCAGGTGGATGCTGCTTGTGTGTCCCCCACCCCCCTGGCCGGCATCTGGCACCAGCCTTCCAGCTCCTGGAAGCAGAAGCCGCCCTGGATCAGTCGGGCTGGTTCTCGGGTGGGGCTGTGGATGGAGCCGGCCGTGGCTACCGGTTCCGGGGTGCAGGCGCCCCCTGCCCCCCAGGAAGGGCCGTTCTTGATCGTGGAGACGCGGTGGTCCTTGAGGTAGAGGCACCCGGCCCACCGCCACCCCGAGCGGGGCCGCCATGCAAATCGAGCGGCCCCGGAGTTCAAGTCTTTCACGGAGTGTTTAATCCCAGCTGCCAATTGGAGCTGATGCCAATGGCCAGGTCACCTGCGGGCCTGTTTTGCAAAAGCCCTCTCTGGTTTTAGCTGCAACTACGGGTGACAGCCATTAAAAACAAATGTTATGGGTTTATTTGAGCCAAACTGACAACATCTGCTGGGGGAGCAAGATCTCAAATGCTCTCAGAAATAATAGTTTTGCAGCTTCTTTTATGCATGTGAAATTAAGGAGAGGCCATATCCTGTTTACTTTTGTTTGCCTTCCTTATTTTTAAAAAACAATTCTAACATCAAAATAAGCCAATATTATTGTTTTATGACATCAAACTCTAAATCTATGCAAGAAATTAACTATTGACAAATGTAACTTTTACTCACAATCTCTGGCGATGTGGGCAAATGCATGTGAGAATTTCAGCAACCTTTGCACCGACAGTAATTGCACCAGCATCTATTGAGAGCTCACCGTGTGCGGGTAGGCATCCTTCTGAGCACGTGGCCCATGTAAGTTCACAGCGAGCCTGTGGGGCAGGTGAGGGAAGCGCACATTTCAGGTTTCAGGCAGCCGGTCCCCCTGGTTCTATGGCAACACCAGACCTGCAGACTCAGTCCTCCCCTGGTCGCGTGTATTTTCTGAAAGCCCAACACGACCCTCCCTGACCTCTCACCTCCCACACTACACTCCGTAGTGACCGACAAAAACAACAAAAGTCCCCCAAACATCTATTTTTTACATCTATGCAGAAAGCTAGATAAGAAAAGGAATGAAATAGAATCTGGTGAAGTGCAAATACAAGCAATTCGGAGGCAGAGAGAATCCGGGGTTGGTTGGAGGGAACCTGGCATGATTCATATCCAGTTGCGTGGTTTGCAGGAACCATCGAAAATTAATTCCATACATCAGCTGGACAGATTAAAAAGTCCTGGGCTCTGTGTCCAATGTGCTCACAAGCTTCCACTTGCCCACATTTCCTGGACAGCCTGTCCGCGCCTCCAGCATCTCACTCTGATTAACGCAGGTCCCCTCTCTCTGAGCCCCGATTCCACTGGGGCCCCTCAGTCTCTGCTCCACACCACAGCCCGAATGCTCCTGCCTCCCTCACTTCACACCTCTCCTCAGCCTCCAGGGCTCCCACTGCACTTAGAGCAGGAACTGGAGTCTTCTGCTCCCTGCACTTTGTAAATTATCTGAATGTTTGACATTTTAAGATCTCAGAGAGGGGAATATATTTCCACTGATTTTCAGGGATGGTGATTGTATTTTATTCCTTAACTTTAAAATGAAAAGACTCATAAAAATAAAATTTATATAATTTACAATAGTAATGCTATACTTTGCTTCATATGAATGTAACTATTTCTGGACCTATTTTGGAGGTCATATATATTTGGATTTTATATTTTACAGGGTGTCCCAAAGAAATATGTATACACTTTAACAGTTGATAGCTCAATTTTGAAAATTAAATGTATTTTGCCCTAGGTAGTTTTGCTCAGTGGATTGAGCATTGACCTGTGGACTAAAGGGTCCCAGGTTAGATTGCAGCCAAGGGCACATACCTTGATTGCAAGCTCCTCCCTGGTCCGGGCCCTGGTCAGGGCAGGTGCAGGAGGCAAACAATCGATTTCTTTCTCTTACACTGGGTCCAGCACACCCACACCCATGTGATGCTCCCTTCCTGGGCCCCACAGACTCCAATTGGGCCCTTTTGTACATTTCTTCTAGAAAAGGGGTCGGCAAACTCACTAGTCAACAGAGCCAAATATCAACAGTACTTCCTCAAAATAGACTCGCCCAGGCCGAAAACCGACTTCAGCGCAGGGGCCATGAAGTTTTAATCCCACTGTACGTGTGCCCGCACGTGGTATTTTGTGGAAGAGCCACACTCAAGGGGCCAAAAAGCCGCATGTGGCTCGCGAGCTGCAGGTTGTCGACCATGGTTCTAGAATAACCCTCCCAAGGCATATTTCATAACATTCCCCACCTGTGACCACTAGTAAATGCTTTCTCTGGAGGCCTCCATGACCTCTGACTCAGTTTGACACAGCAATCAGCACATGAGCAACAACCCCACTAGCAGTGACTCCAGGACTGGACTCTGTTCCCCATGCCATTCCCTTCACCTGAGTTGTTCCCTCACATCTGCCTCCTGGGAAAACAACTCTGGATGCTCCCAGCCTGTTGTGTCCCAGCTTCTGCTGACAGCCAGCAAGGAATGGCAACCTGGGTTCCACCACTGCAGGAAACTCAGTTCTGCCAACAACCAGAATTAGCAAGAAACAGACTGTTCCCGGGACCCTCCAGAAAGGAGCCCAGCCTGCAGACCCCTGGATGTCAGTCAGGCCAGAGCCACACTGGGCTTCCCACCTACAGACATGTGAAGTAAGGAATCTGTGTTACATTAGGTCATGAAATTTGTGGGTTTTATTACAGCAGCTTACAAAGCTAATACAATAAGGATTTTGTGAAAATGTGGTGGGTAAACTGTGGGGGTGAAAACCTAGAAGAAGCTCAGTTGAAGTGTGAAGACCATTAACCAATTTATTTAACAAATGTAACCTGACCACCACCTGCCGGGTGGAGGACACACAGTGGTGACCAATCACAGTGATGGTGATGGAGTGGCTTTTCCCAGGACCCAGCAGTTACAGGAACCTCCGGGAACATGGACACATACTCAGCATGGAATGTCCTTTCCTGGAGATGGGGCCACAATGTGATAAAACTTCCACTGCAGTTCACCTGACTCCCTTCCCCCAAATTCATGCCTCACAATGAGCTTTAGGGATGAAGCTGGAGGGTTGGTTCAGCTTCATGATCACAGGTCACAAGCTGGTGAGGAGTGTGGCCTCTAGTCCCTTCTCAGCCCCGGGTGAGGTGGTCACTGTGAATTCATTCTGTGGACGATGTCATCATGGACAGCCAGCCAATGGAGCAGTGGACCATGGCTCTGACAGTCCCCCTTGAAGGAACCAGGTGGGGTGTGGCCTTCATAGTCACCTACAGTGACCTTCTCCCTGGGGCCCTGGGAAGGGAACCTCAGGCTGCCCATGACCCTGCCCAACAGGAACAACTGGCTGCAAAGGAACAGACTGGAGGTGGAGGGAGGGTCAGAGGTCAAACACCTCCCAGCAGCACTACTTTCTGCATGAATTACATGTCACTTCCCTGGGCCCTGCCTCCCTTTCCACACTTTCAATGAGGCCCCCTCACAGGGGTGTTGTGAGGATTGGTGAGTGAGATTCACCTGAAGCATTTAGCCCAGCACCCACCACATTCTAAGTTACCTGTAAATGTGACCTATGGTTTCAGAAAGTGAGCTTTGCAAAGTTAATTAACTTCCTGCATCCTGGTCTCATCTATCATGTGGAAAAGGTGAAAGATAACTAGTAAAGTGCTACACTCAGTGAGTTTTTAGTAAGTATGTTCCTGATGTAAATATGTTCCTGCTGTGAGGTTTGGCTGTTTAGGAAGCCCTCAGCTCAGGGCTGGGCAGGGGGAAGCAAAGACCTTTCTTCAGCCTGAGGGTCCTCATTGCCATCAGCTGAGCCTGCGGCCACTGGGGTCTCCAGGGAAGGGTCAGGCAGTGGGTCAGGCAGAAGGAAACTCCCCACTCCTTTTGGTGCTGGGCAAATGGTCAAGGCAGTGGGCTCCTCTGAGAAAATCCGGAAAAGAGGCAAGAGAGGCCCAGAGAAGGGAGTCTGTGAGAAGGTGTAGGTGTGCGTTCCATCAGTGGCATCATAGAATGAGACCTCCCCCCTCTCATAGTCCAGGAAAACCCCCACTCTTTTAGGAGGGTTGACAATTGTGAGTTTGCTCCAGGGATCGGTTTGAGCCTGGAAGTCATGCCCATCCAACAGTGCTATTGTCCAGAATCCATTCTGGGGTGTTATTTTAACAGGACATATTCTCTCCACATTATCCATACACACCCCTAAATTCCACTGTTTCCTGTCTCCCACGTCCACCTCCCAGAAGTGTCTGCCTGACATGAAGCTCTCACGGCCCAGCACACAGGAACGATATTGAAATCTCTTGGGGTTGTCTGGCAGGCTCTTCATTGTTCCAGCCCAGTTCAGTCTCCTCCGGTCCTCAGAAATAAGGAGGTTGGGGTGCGCAGTGTCGGGATCCAGAATCACGTCCGCTGCAGAGAGTTCCAGTGGTGTGGGGTCAGCCATGGTTTCCAGATTTGAGAGCCTCAGGCTCCAAGGCTTGGGTCTGGCTGGTGAGACCTGAGCCCAGAACCTGGGGTCCCACCTGCCCTGAGTGTGACCCTCAGCAAAACCAAGTGAAACCACAGGGCCTGGTGGTCAGTGAGGAAGGGAGGGTGAGAAGGGCTGGGGTCTGCCTAACCCACCATCTCAAGTGGCCACCTTCCTTCTATCTTTCTCCTGTTTCCTCCGCAGAATGACTGTGCCCACCTGTGCTGCATAGTCACATGGATTCCATTTCCAGCCCTTGCTCTACCCACCTGAGCCGGACGTCCTCCTTTTCTGCATAGTCTCTTCTCTCTCTCTCTCTCTCTCTCTCTCTCTCTCTCTCTCACACACACACACACACACACACACACACTATGTAATGTTGCAAGTCTCAATGTGATACCTGTAAAAGGGGAATAAAAATACTCATCTCCAGGGTAGAAGAAAACAGAATGTGAGCTGTATGTAGCCCAAAGCCAGGCATCGAGGAGGCAACTGGTGTGATCATAGCGACCAGGTCTCTGCTGTGCTGGGCCATGCTGGGCTCTATGTGATCCTGACTCCCCACCTGCTCCTCCCTCTTTGCCCAGGAATCGTCCCCCTTGGGCAGCATCACTGGGCTCTCTTGCCTCTGGTCACCTGTTCGCTTTGGCCAAAGGCAGTACTGGCTGAAGCCTGGAGGGAAGGAAAGAGAGGCACAGCCCCGACTTCCCCACTTCCTGTGATGGAGAAGCTCTAACAGAGCACGCCTCCTCTCAGGCAGCCTCTCCCTGAGCCACAGCCTCCTCAGGGCTCCAGTGATTGCCCCCCGACCCTCTGCCTTGGGCCTGGGGGTGGTGACAGCTCCCACTGCTGTGAGCGTGGGGCACTGCTCTTCCTTGTGGTTTCCCTTAATGCCACTCTGGCCTCTAGAATAGGTCCTTCCCTAAACCCTCTGTAATCACTGGGCAGATGTGGCTGAATCAACCCAACTCCATCTCTGTGTCTCAGATTTCCTTCATCTTTTCATGCTGTGACCTTTGACCAACCACCCTGTCCTTAGCAGGCACACCAAAGCCTTCAGGGTGATGATAATGTGTGTTCATTAAAATGTTGCCATAAACACTTTTGTGGGTAACACTAGAACGACATGACAACGCAGGTCAACACCAAACGCGATGGTATCGATTATAAAGAACCATGCAGCACAAGACCCTCAGGAGGCATGGCTGGTGCTGCCACACCCTTTGTCCCTTTGTTCTGTCAATCATTATACCCGAGTTCTGTATTAAACAAGTGCTGTAACTGGTCCATGAGTGGAATAGTCTGTGCAGACTGACACGTAGTCCGTGCACCCCAACCCCTCACCCCTGTGAGTAAATGACTCTATAATGCAGTCTCTTATAATATAAGGAGTTGATACATCATTTTTACATCTTAAGAACCTTTTCCTGACTGTGGTCATCACCGTCAGACGCACACCCATCATGAAAAGGCCATGGCTTCCCTCTTGGAATTTTGACCAACACACACTCATCCTCATCACCTCGTCTAGTCTCACCTCCACCCTCACATAGTAGGAATGACCACCATCATCTCAAAGGGACTCAGAGACATGGCACAGCTTGAGGAGGCTCAGGGCAGGAGGGGCAGCAGCTGGGCCAGGTCACCTCCTCCCTCTCCCTCCAGCCCCTGCCCCCAGCTCCACCCCTCATGCCTCCTCCTTCTCCCACAGACCTGGGGAAGCCCGGGCGGCAGCTGTCCCTGGCTCTCTTGGCAGCAGATGCGCACACTGTGGGGACCACATGTTACCCACCCAGATGTCCCCCAGTCAAGAGAAGGAGCAGAAAACGGGAGCCAGGCCACTGAGTTGTTGTCCCAGGGAACACAGTGACTCACTCACCAGGTTGGTAAAGGGCCATCTTCCACTCTGAAAGGAAGGAGACACAGGCAAGGAAAGGTCATCACCTCTGTTCTCCCCCCACCATCCTCCTCACTGAGCCTCTTCCCTCTCCTTCCCACCAATATCTAGTTTCCTTCCTCCACAGATCTGAGGAGGAGGCATAAAAGCTCTCAGAATGTTGGGCTTCCCTCCATCACGGTGGGTTGTGGGTGACGTGGCCAGGCTGTGCCCAGGTGTGGGCGTGTGTGGCAGCAGGTGAGGGGACGCTGGAGCTGGGAGGTCCTCTCTGGGGGTCCAGAGAGGCAGGGTGGTCCTCCCCAGAACATGAGCTCTGAACAGGGTCTGATGACCCCTCACCAACACAGAAAGGGTTTAAGGGCTTTTTACACAAGTGCAGGAACCAGAGGGCATGAGTCACTCACCAGCATAGGCCCGAGACCTGTCACCTGCAAAGGAAGGAGGCAGGGTCACCTCAACCGTCATTTCTGAGTCCTTTCCTTTCTCTTTTGTTTGACCCCCACCTCCCGCTCCCTCTGCCTGCTCCCCGCTCCTCTTTAAAGTCACCTGCACCTAGTGACCTGCAGACACCAAGTGGGGCTTCCCCAGCTGCACCTGTAGGTCTGTCCTGTACGTGTCTGTACAGCAGTCACCTTTAACTACTGTTTCACTTTCTGAAGTTTCAGTTACCCTCTGTCACCCACAGTTGGAAAATATTACATAGAAAATTCCAGAAATAAGCAATTCATAAGCTTTAAATTGCACACCATTCCGAGTAGTGTGATGACACCTGTGCCATCCGTCTCTCACATGCCAACCTGAGAACCATCCCTGTGCCCAGCATGTCCACCCTGTGTTCCTCCCATTAGCCACTTAGTCAGCTAGGAGCCATCTCTGTGGTCAGATCTGCCTCAGCATCACAGGGCTGGTGTGAAAGTCCCCTGATGTTACTTAGTAATGACCCATCATTGCAGTGCTGCTGGCCATTGGGGTGTGGCAATGAGAAGCCTTCCTTTAAGTGAGAAGGAGAAACCTACTATACACAGGGTGTGGTGCTATCCGTGGGCCAGGCACCCACTGGGTCTTGGAACCATGCACCTGGCACATGAAGTGACTGTCTTCCTCCTGTACCTGGCTAGGCTTGTTGTGTGCTAGAACCCATCTACCTTATTCTGCATAATTTCCTGCCATTTTCCAAAAAGGATTGGGTGACTTAATGAGAAAATTCCAGACACTACTTTTCAGCAGTTAAGATAAATCTGACACCAGCCCTTCCTCCTTGGAAGAGAATGTTCTCTCTCCTTCTGGTTTCCTCTCAGCAGCCTATAGATTCTGTAGAGCAGCCAGGGAGGGAGGACTCACATCATGAATCCATCTCCCCCTCTCCTTCTGGGGTTCCCTGGACATGTGGGTGGAGCGGCCTGGTGGAGAGAGCCTGACCCCTTTCTCCAGCGAGGAAACCCTGCCGACCTCCCGCATCAGTGTCCTCATTCCTTCCCCTGGGCGGTCAGGGGTGAGGAAGGGGGTAAACTAGACAGATCCCAGCAGAGAGTCTCAGAGGCAGGTCCAGGTACTCACGTGCCAGGTACTGCTGCTTCATCTTCCCTGCAGGGGAAACGGGAGGGAAGGGGAGGGTGAGGCGGATAACCAGGGACCTCAGAAACCCTCCTGGAAGGGGATTGGAACTTACTGAGCTCCTCCTGCAGCTTCTCTGGAAATAAGCAGAAAGAGAAGGTGCTGTCATGGGCACGGAAAGGGGAACCCGCGCTGTGGGTGGAAGGCGTGGGGCGAGGAGGTCCCACCCACCTGCAGCCAGGCCTCACCTAGGGCGATTTGCTCCTGCTGATCCTCCTGGCTCAAGGCCCGTATTCTCTTCTGCTGTCGACACCATGAGATCACCGCCCCGACCAGGATCCCCAGCAGAGCCGGAAGGGTCACCCCGAAGGCCGCCCGCCAGGGCTGTGCGCTGGAGAAGAAGGGGCCTGCGGAGGGAAAGCCTCAGCTGCTTGCCCAAAGAGTCCTGGGGCCTCTCGGGAGGGGAAGCGACATTGCTCTTCCCAAAGTGCTCAGAACTCTTCCCTTCACACAGACTAGTGTCCGAATGTCTGGTTCTCACATGGGAACAGTTAGAATATAATGTACAGACAGTCACTGGAATCTCCTCTCCACTCCCTCCCCCATGTATCAGCGGCTTAACCTGCTGCCTCAGAAGGTGACCTTTGGGCTGGAGGGTGACCTTGAACCAATAACTTAGCCCTTCTGTCCTCAGTGTCCTCATCAGCAGAGCATGAAGTTAATGCTCTAAAGTCCCTGACATGACGTCAGTGCCATGTAACAGTTTATTCATTTTAAAAACATAAACATCTTCGAGACCCAAGATGGTGACCATGGGGACCGCAGGCTGCAAGATAGTGTGTGAGTGAGAGAGCGGAAGGGAGGGCGTGGACGGCGGGAGTGTCTGTGTGTGAGGGAGGGAGGGACAGCTATGTTCCACGGGACTGTGGGGCTGGCGGACCAGGCTCCCCAGTGGGGCAGCCTCTTCTGCTGCTGAAACCTCTCCCGAGCGGCCGGCTCTGCGGCAGGGAATGCACCATCTTGTAGGGGAGAGCGGCTGTGATTGGGAGCCCAGCCTCATCTCCACCCGGGAGACCTCGGATACCTCCCGGGACCCTAAAACCACATCGCCCAGGGACCAGGTGCCTCAGCTGCCAACCCACGAACACCAGGACTCCAGCCTCCCCGGCCATGGGCACCTAAAAAGTTTGTCCAGGGGGAGACAAGCTGGCAGCTGAATACACGGACGGGTCCTGCGCCTTCTCACAGAGCAGATGGAAGGAAGAGCTGCACCGAATAACACCCACCCGGAATTGGAGAATTAAACACAACTGGAGAGGAAAGTGGACAGAAAGGTCAGAGATCACCTAGACTAGAGAGAGAAATAATCTCTGCCTCCTCAGGTTCATCTGGGTGTTTGTTTGCATTTTTAGGATTAGTTGTTTGTTGTTTGCATTTTTGGGATTAGTTTTTTTTTTTTTTTTGGAGTTTTCGCCCCAGATACATATATATTTTCTCCTTCTTTTTTCTTCTCTTTCTTTTCTCTCATATTTTTTCCTTTTCCCAATATCATTTTTGCACTCTTTTCTCTCCCCTAATTCTCTTTTCTCTGGTGGTCATCATTATTTGGGGTTTTTCGCGTCGTGAATCCATTTGTATTTGGTGCCCTGCATGTTGTGTATTATTGTGTTGTATTTTGTGCCTTTAAGTCAATGTAGGAGACAGAGAGCTACATAAACAGACACCCTGAGTGAACATGGGGAGACAAAGAAACAGCCCCCATACAAAAGGAAAGGAGGAAGCAATGGAAAAGGAAGTAAATGAAATGGAGGCAAGCAATTTGTCAGAGAAAGAATTCAGAGTAATGGTCATAAGTACGCTGAAAAGAATGGAAGACAAATTCAACAATATGTGTAAGAATCAAGAGGAAATGAAGAAGAACCAAGAAGAAATGAAAAATGACATTGCTGCAATAATGAACACAATAGAAAGCATCAACAGTAAACTGGAAGTGAAGGACAGTATCAGTGAGCTGGAAGACAAGATAAAAAAATACCCAAGCAGAGCAACAACTGAAAAAAAACCTAAAAAACAGGAGAATAGCCTAAAGGAACTTTGGGACAACATGAAACAAAACAACATCTGCATCAGGGGGGTGTCAGAAGGAGAGGAAACTGGGCAATGATTAGAAAACCTGTCCAAGAATACTGTACCCAGCAAGGCTATCAATCAGACTTGAGGGTGAAATCAGGAGCTTCACAGACAAAAAAGAACTAAGAGATTTTATTACCGCCAAACCAGCCATGCTAGCAATGCTAAAGGGTCTGCTATCAAAAGAAGAAATTGGAAGGGGAGAAGGAACACAGGCATGAAGAATAAAATGGCGACAAACAAGTACCTATCAACAATAACTTTAAATGTAAATCGATTAAATGGCCCTACCTGGTTCAGCTCAGTGGATAGAACGTCGGCCTGTAGACTTAAGGGTCCCAGGTTCAATTCCGGTCAAGGGCATATACCTTGGTTGCGGGCACATCCCCAGTAGGGAGTGTGCAGGAGGCAGCTGAATTGATGTTTCTCTCTCATCAATGTTTATAACTCTCTATCCATCTCCCTTTCTCTCTGTAAAAAATCAATAAAATGTATTTTTTTAAAAATCGATTAAATGCCCCAATCAAAAGACATAGGGTAGCTGAATGGATAAGAAAACATGACCCATATATCTGCTGTCTACAGAAGACCCACCTCAGAACAAAGTACTCACACAGACTGATGGTGAAGTGTTAGAAACAGGATATTTAGGTGACTGGAAATGAAATAAAAAGCTAGGATAGTAATACTTATATCTGACAAATTAGACCTCAAAGTGAAGGCCATAACAAGAGATAAAGAAGGTGACTTTACAATATTAAAGGGAGCAATTAAACAAAAAGATATAACTCTGGTAAACATATATCAACCCAATACAGGAGCATCCAAATACATACAAAATTTTCAGGAAGATATCAAGGAAGAGATTGATAGCAATACAGTCATAGTAGGAGACTTTAATACCCCACTAACACCACTGGACAAATCCTGTAAACAAATATCAGCAAAGAAACATTAATCCTAAATGACTCACTAGATCAGATGGAATTAATTGACATCTTCAGCATATTTCACCCCAAAGCCACATAATATACATTCTTCTCAAGTGCACACATATTGCGGCACAGGCAAAGGCTCTTCAAATTCAAGAAGATAGAAATCATATCAAACATCTTTTCAGATCACAATGGATTAAAATTAGAAGACAACTACAATAAAAACAATGAAAAAAAATCAAACACATGGAGGCTAAATAGCATGCTATTAAACAATTATTGGGTTACCAAAGCGATCAAAGAAAAAATAAAAAGTATTATGGCAACAAACGACAATGAAAACACAACAATCCAAAATCTATGGGACAGTCAAAGCAGTCTTAAGAAGGAAGTTCATAGCTCTACAGGCCTACCTCAAAAAAACAAGAAAAAAATGATAATAAATTATCTAACACCTAAAACTCAAAGAGTTAGAAAGAGAGCAACAAGAAAAGCCTGGCATAAGCCAAAGGATGGAAATAATAAAGATCAGAGTGGAAATAAACAACATAAAAAAAAACAGAGACCAAAAAAGAAAAAAAAAAAACCACCACAATTCAAAAGATCAATAAAACAAGAGCTGGTTCTTTGAATGGATAAACAAGATTGATGAACCTCTAGCCAGGCTCACTGAGAAGCAGAGAGAGAGGACCCAAATAAACACAATCAGAAATGAAAGAGGTGCAGTAACAACCAATCCCACAGAAATACAAAGGATTACGAAAAAATACAATGAACAACTCTACTCCAACAAAATGGACAACCTAGACAAAATGGACATATTTTTAGAAAAATACAAGATCCCAAAACCCAATCAGGCAGAATAAAAAAAACCTGAATAGGCTGATAACCACCAAAGAAATTGAAGCACTGATCAGAAATCTTCCAGCAAACAAAAGCCCTGGTCCAGATGGCTTTACAGGGGAGTTTTACCAAGCATTAAAAGAAGAACTAAAACCTATCCTCCTCAAACTATTTGAAAGAGTCAAGAGGAAGGCACACTTCCAAGCTCTTTCTATGAAGCCAGCATTACCCTAATTCCAAAACCAGATAAAGACACCACAAAAAAAAAAAAAGAGAGAGAGAGAGAGAGAGAGAGAGAGAACTACAGGCCAATATCCGTGATGAACATAGATGCTAAAATCCTCAACAAAATTCTAGCAAAACGGATCCAGCATTACATTAGAAAGATCATACACCATGACCAAGTGGGATTTTTTCCGGGGATGCAAGGATGGTACAATATCCACAAATCAATAAATGTGATACATCACATAAACAAACTGAGAGACAAAAATCACATAATCAAATCAATCGATGCAGAAAAAGCATTTCACAAAATCCAACACCCTTTCTTGATAAAAACTCTCAGCAAAGTGGGAATAGAGGGATCATACATCAACATAATAAAAGCCTTATATGACAACATCATACTCAATGGCCATAAACTAAACTCATTTCCCCTAAGAACAGGAACAAGACAGGATGCCCACTTTCACCATCCTGTTCGATATAGTACTAGAAGTGCTAGCCATAGTGATCAGACAATAAGAATAAAATGCAACCAAATTGGAAAAGAAGTAAAACTGTTTTTATTCGCAGATGACATGATATTGTACATAGAAAACCCCAAAGACTCCTTCAAAACACTACTACATATGTATTCAGCAATGTAGCAGGATACAAAATTAACACCCAGAAATATATGGCTATCAACAAATGACAAGTGCTTGCGATGATGTTTAGAAAAAGGAACCCTCATGCACTGCTG